GCTGCTACAGACCCATTTGTTAAGTCTTTATCAGCAGTTTGTCTAATATTAACTAACTTTAGATACATGAAGTATCAAAGTAAAGCGATCTCATTCAGACAGAACAGTCACCACTTATGTGAGCATCATCACTGTATTCAAGTATTTTTATATTCACCAAACTGTAAAAAGTGTCCTCGTAATGTTGAAATCAATGTGTGCGATCAAAGAGCTGCCGATAGACTTTTATTTTAAAGTAGTTCTAGTCATTTAATGCCTCTATTTGAGGAAGATATTTTGCTCTTCCTGTGCACACTGAACTGTGCTGAAAATAGAACACGTCACCATGGATACTCCTCTAATATTGTCTCGTAGAAACATGCTAACCAGTGAAATTATCTGAAGTGATTCTGTCGTTTGCACATCTTCAGTCTTCTCACGGAGACTTAAAATGTTCAGACGTCTTTCTCAGCCTGACTGTGTTGTGCTGTCTCCTCACTGCAGCCTCTTTAAAGTGTTTGGCAGCAGGGAATGATGGGTACTCTGCTGGTCCAGAGTCATTTGGATTAGATTTTGTACTTGTATGTGTGTTTGTTTGTATGTGTGTGTGTGTGTGTGTGTGTGTGTGTGTGTGTGTGTGTGTGTGTGTGTGTGTGTGTGTGTGTGTGTGTGTTGTGTGTGTGTGTGTGTGTGTGTGTGTGTGTGTGTGTGTGTGTTGTGTGTTTGTGTGTGTCCTAGCCGTGGAGTGAGCTGCTGGGGCCTTTTGAGAGTCATTTCCTGTAAACTATGATTTTGTATGAGTGAGGGGAAGAAGCTGAGCGCTGCCTGCTGAGGGACTGGATGATGTCTGGACCCTTAGTTAAATCAGCTCAACTGTAACATATTGATCCAGTGACAAAGTGACTGTCCGCGTCATGGGGCAGCATTTAAACACTGGAATCATATTCTGACTGTGAAGGAGCCTCTTTTTATACTTCCTTTACACAGAGAGCTCAAAACATTTTGCCCATGGTATGTTGTTGTGCAAATGACAGACAGTGGGCAGTCAGCAGTTGTTTTTGACTTGATTTAAGGTTTGTTAAAAATGTAAACAAAAGTATGGTAAAATAACTAAGTAAAGTGATTTTGAGAGCATTAGAAATAAAATAAAATAAATAGTAGATAATTAATTAGTTGATTGACAGAAAGTAACAAAACTATGTTGAGTCAAAGATAGGCCCCATTTAAAAATAAATTCTCATTAAATCCACTTATATATGATTAATGATTATATATATTAAATATGATCTTGTTTCTGTCTTCACAGGGACGATTTCAGCTTTATTTCTTTGTTGGTCAGACAGACGGATGCGATTTGATGAGGTCATTTTTGGTTTTGCTTTAAGAAAACATTTCATAGGATAAATAATCCTTAACTACAACCTCAGTTTGAAACTGACACATGTCTATCCAGTATTTATAACGCTGAAGCCACAAGCTGGTCAGCTTAGCGTAGTTTAGCATAAGTGCAATTAGATTAAACAGATACAAATCTTCTCACTAACATACTCTCATATTGACAACAAATATCTTGTTCACTTAATCTGTTAAAACAAACATACAGTGAACAGCGGTTGTTTGTCAGTTTAAGATGAGCAGTTATTTTATATTTTTAGTGAAGACTTATAACGGCTGTCTGTTTCCCCATTTCAACTTTTTTTTACACGACTGAGGCCAGAAGAAACTACAAGAAAAATGATGAACTACACTGCTTTAAAAACATGCACAAGGAAAGACAAAGAAAACAAGAACGTTCTAATCCCTTTATAACGTTCATTTATTCTCAAAGATTAATCCTCCAATGGCCCCTCGTTCAAAATCTAATCTTCTCATTAATAGCAGATATGAGTTATATATCATGTTATGAGTTTATTAATATTTAACTCAGAATGACGTACAATTATTAAGAAATCAACAACAGTCACAACTTTCTGGATCCACTTAGTAATGACAGAATTGAACATAATGTTGAATTTGTCAGTAACAAAAGAAGTGTGACTGTCATGATAACATGTGCTTTGTAGTGTGTGTGTGTGTGTGTGTGTGTGTGTGTGTGTGTGTGTGTGTGTGTGTGTGTGTGTGTGTGTGTGTGTGTGTGTGTGTGTGTGTGTGTGTGTGTGTGTGTGTGTGTGTGTGTTGGAGAGGGGGACAGCTGGCAACTGAGAAAGGAAAGCTGGAGGGGGGGGGTGAGTGAGGGGTAGGTGGGGGCTTTTCTAATGCCATTTCAAGACATCTGTTCCATTCTTCTTTTCAGATTGACCCCTCCATGCACGCACACACACACACACACACACACACACACACACACACACACGCTCTTTAATGTCTCTATCACAACGCTTCATCTTCATCAAGCACCATGACTAACTTTTGCATCTACACCACGAGGACTGACTAACAGGCTCATTTGATCCCCTAAGAAGCAGTACACCCAGACCCTACACGTTCTGCTGATTTGAGTCCTCTGTCTCCCCCCTGTGGTGTGGAGGGGAACTGTAACATCCTTTACGTGGCATCACCGCCGGGTGTGCCAACTTTTGAAAAGAAAAAAGAAAAAACGGTCTTTTATTTCAAAGAGCGTTTAGGTTCTGTTGCCCACATCATGTATGAGTTGGACACACCCATCCACACTCTCTCTCACACACACACACACACACACACCACTGTCACATCTGGAAGCAATTGAGTGTAACCTCTAAGAGCCGTGTACCTCTTTCACCTCTACACACACACACTGACACACACACCCACACACACACTCCGGAGTTAACCAAAGGAGACGACATGGTGACTGATCTTCTTTACATCCTTTTCATTAAAGTCTAGACCAGAGCTACACAAACTTTTTTAAACTGTTGAATCCGTCAGTGTCCACCAAACATAGACACACATGTACAAAGCTTTCAGCTGAAGGTTGCACCAGGATTTATTTAAACTTAATTGTTTATTTGCTTTTTTTTCCCCAAGAGTTCCATGAGATTAATGTCACCCTCCTGATGCGTCTTGTGTGGCTCCGCCCAAAGTTTGAAAATATAACTACAAGCACCTATTAAAGCAGCTTTATTTACACATTAAATGTTATTAGCCAACCCTAAAGGTTATGAATAACAAGTTATTTAGCTTTGGATGTGCTGTAAGGTTAACTTTGTTATATTTGGATAAAGCTAGGCTTACTCTAGCCGCTAATGCTTCTCAATTTAACACAACTGCATTGTTATTGAAATTTGAGCATTTGCAGTAAACATATTTGCAGAGGTCGGAATTTATCTTAAACATTATTTCATTATTATTATTTCAAGTGTAATGGGCGGGCTTTCAGACCATTTCAGGCTGCAGATGAAGCTAAATATCAGTTACGATCAGAATAATTGGTGCAGATTTCATGTTGAAAAAAGCCCTGCGTTTTGTATTTATTTTGGATTTAGGAGAAACGTGTTGCAAACATGTGTGGTGTAAAACATAAAGAACAGCAGATGGACATTAAAACCGAGTTCAAGCTCATAAGCTCTCTTTGATATTTGTTTATTTATCTCACTTTATCCCAATATCTCACATCTAATATTTTATACATCGTACTTTCCAAATGTTTTTTTGTTTTTTTACTGTTTATGCTTCACTAAAATGTGGCTCCTAGCTGTAAGGTCATATTTGAGGTAAATGCATGACAGCAGTGTCCATCATGCTCCAAAAAGAACAATAATAAACTTTTCTGTCCACATTCCTTCTTTATTTGTATTTGTATTTCATGGGGTTGCTCCTAAGTGATGTGTTGTTTTTGTATCAGAGGGCTTGCATCACGGTTAATGTTAAATACTGAAGTATCATTAGAGTGTGTCACAGGTAGAGACGTTTCATACAGTCAGCAGAGATGTATACATAGATGTACAATAACAACTTTGCTCAAGTTCCTGACCTACAAATAGTTAACTTTCTGGCTTGTTAACCACATTAATGAAAGTTGTTAGCAGTTATGCCTAAATACATAAATCCTCTAAACTACTCAGATATTTTCATTTCACTGATTGTTTGAGGACAAATGAAGTCAAATGAATCAGTATTGGAGGAGAGTAGAGTACCAACAACAAATGCAGTTTTGTGTGTCAGTACTTTTGTTTACTTCTTTCTTATCCCGTTACTTATTTCAAAATCCCTCAGATTAAACTTTTGAACTTTGGAGGGACGCAACCACAAGCAAAGGAAAAGATTCTACATCTTAACGTCATACTCGGATCTTTAAACCAACTCCACCTTAAGCAGCTACAACAGATCTTCATACACACACACTGATATATTAACATCAATCACTGCAACGCTTTGTCACTCTTAGGGGCCACTTTGATCACGTTTGATCACAGGTCCTCTCTGCTTCGATTTAAGTAGAGTTTTATTATCAAAAGCTTGAATGCAGTATTTTTATTTGTAAAAGATCATTTCTACGTTGATTCATTTCTTCTCTTTCTCCTCTTAAGACTCTGTAATCCCCTGGTCTAGACAGTTCTGTTCAGCTCAGAGCATTCACTGAACACAATGACTGACACGTTTATTTACTGAATAATCTGATTGTCTCACTTCACAGGCCTGAACTTGCAGCCTCTGTGTCTTATATGTGGTGTGTTTCTGAGCCACACTGCAGCTTTTCTCAATGTCAAGTTCAAACTAGTTGTTCTCATTTTCTTGACTTTTCACCCTGAGGTCAAAGAAACATCGACACTCTCTGACTGCTCCCTCTCCTTCTCTCTCTCTCTCTCTCTCTCCCCGCGAGCTGGTGGTCACTTCTCTCAGTGCACAGTTTTATTTTTCAACTGTCGGAGCTGGGGGAGGGAATCCAGGCTGAATGAATGAGTTTCTTTTAGACCTTCTCTTCTTCCATCCCTCCCTTGTTTCCTCCCTCAAATTGCCACCTCTTTTTTACTCCCTCGCTCCGTCTCCCTCCCTCTCAGTTAGAATTCCTCCGTACCTGTCTGAACAGGGAGAGTCGGGCGGCTGCAGGGCAGAGGGGAAAAAAGAAAGTGAGAAGGCAGGGGAAAAAAGGAAGTTAAGGTATTCAAGAGAGGGAAAGTAGGAGGAACAAAAGGTGAATATTTAAAGAGCGACAACAGGACAGAGGGGTGTTAGAGACGACTTGGGAACAGACGGGGGGAGTAGGGAAAGACTTTATCAAGATCTTGGGGCTTGGAGCTTTCTTTTTCCTGTTCCCTGCTGGGCTGTTTTCAAGTTTTTTGAGACCCGTGGCTATTTTTGTCAGTAAGTGTCGGAGTGGTTTGGGATGGATGCCATCATGCTGCAAGAAAAACTTGTGGAACGACTGCTGTGCCCACGAGTGAGAACAGCCAGACAGAAGGTAAAAAAAAAAAAAAAAAAAAGATGGATGTCTTTTGGGGGAAATGGTGAAAAATATGAAGAAGATGACAGACGTAAAAACAGAGAGACTTTTAAAATGCTTAAACTCAACGCCTTCACACCTTTAGATTTACTGCCAGCATCTTTGAGAGTTCTCTCGTCCTCTCTGTGGAGGTGTTTGCTCTTGTGATACGGCTTCATAGTGTCAGAGATGTTTTTACTATTACTCATTGATTTCTCTTCAGCTTTCTCCTCTCTCTCTGCTCTTGCTCTCTGGCAAGTGAACACTGTCCATTTGCACCGCCTGTGTGTGTGTTTTTTTTTTTTTTTGTAAACACAATCCTCACCCGAGGCGACTGTCGGAAATGCCTGTGACAAGTTATGACAGAATATGAGGACTCTGGCTGTGTCTTTGACTTGTGTGTTTGCACAGTTTAAAAAAGAGCCTTTCAGGTCTGTTGAATGAAGCTTCTGTGTGTGTGTGTGTGTGTGTGTGTGTGTGTGTTGTGTGTTGTGTGTGTGTGTGTGTGTGTGTGTGGTGTGTGTGTGTGTGTGTGTGTGTGTGTGTGTGTGAATGCTCTAGCAGGCTTTGAGCGTGTATTTATATCAGCGTGTATGTAGGTTGAAGATGACGTCCTGCCAGATTCAGCACTGAGACTTTCTGTCTGACAGAGACTGGTATCCTCTGGTTCTCTTTGTGTTTTACAGTTTTTGTGGGAAGTCTGCGACACTGGTTATTCTGGGGCTGTGCACGAGTTGTAGATTTTCTCTGTTCGAGACGTCGACTTTCTGTTGTGGTTTACTTTTTATTGACTCAGACGCTGCCAGATACATTTCGTTTCTCTCATTAGAAACCCTCTGAGCTCTCTCACAGATATTTACTGTGCTTCTATTTATGAGACTTTTATATTTAATATGTATTGTAGAGCTGTAACAATTATAATGAATGATACTCAGTTTGTTTCCTTTATATCTCGAGCAAAACCTGCAGATAAAATGTAGTTCTTATTTCTCAGGTGTGAGGATGCTCTACTTTATTTTCAAGTATTCAGTGGCAGTGCTTCAATTGAAACAGTTTATAACACAGATTTGAAAACACTCTTCTCCAAAAAAGTCATACATTCATAAAGTTTGTAAGCGATAGAATCAAAATAAACATGAAGTTCCAATAGGTGAGAGTGCGCTTATTATGTATAACAGCCTTTATTAGTATTCATTATTAGATTACAGTTATTGATGCACTTACCCAGACAAGATTCACTTTAACGGCCTCAATTTTACAAAAAAAGTTTGTATTTTGTATTAATGAGCTCAGTCTACTGAGTTAACAGGAATCCAACATTTTCAGATGAATGTAGCAGAGTCCATATGATTTAATTTACCTTTTAACTGCAGAGGAGTAAAACAAACTGGCAGACATTTGATGTACTCAAAGGAACCTCAAATTGTACTTAAGCAGACTAACATTTGGTAAATGTATTTCTTTACATCCATAACAAGTCTCTATACAATACATTCAGTTGGTTGTTAAAACAATAACTTTTGGTTTCCAACAACAGAGATGATGGGTTGTTGTTTTTTGTTATTTTTGTACTTTCAATCGACCAGACAATATTTTGTCTGATAAACATTTTAATAAGTGAATAATTGTTTGGCTCTGTCATAAATTCTCAGCTTAACAAAAACATACTCGTAGCCTTTATTTAATTTTGCCTTTTGATACTAAATATCTCCTTGTTGTTGTTCTTCTTCTTCTCCTGAATTTTGTTGCAGGAGAAACAGTATGTGGGATTCGCAACTCTGCCCAACCAGGTCCACAGGAAGTCTGTGAAGAAAGGCTTCGACTTTACTCTGATGGTGGCAGGTCAGTTTGTGGCGTGATAACAAATATACTCGACTTTAGACTCATTAACAAGTTTATAAAATACATCTAACTTAAAAAACATGCAAGTTAAATTGCTCTCAATGAAGTACAAATTCGTTTTCAGGAGGTGTTGTTTCAACTTCATGATTATTATTGAGGCCACAGTTTGTGGATTGTTTGTACTTTACTAAAAACAAGTTTCTAATCTTCTAATCTCTTACCCCAGGGGAGTCTGGTATGGGTAAATCCACCCTGGTCAACAGCCTGTTCCTCACAGACCTCTACAAAGACAGGAAGTTACTGAATGCTGAGGGTGAGTCGTCATGCTCTTTATTATCTTTCTCTATCTCTATTCTTGTTGACGAGAGTCTGTCTTTTATTTAACTTTAAAGTTGTCGCCCAGTAGAAGTGAAGAAGTCATTTTCTTATTGATTGAAGTTTAACATTTAGTGCAGCTGTGACTGCTCAATCAGGACAGAGGCTTACCAATGTGTCTCATTTTACTTGTCCAGAAATAGTCACTTCTGGCTCCAAAAAGGATAACTGTGACAGCCAAGATGACTTGTGGCTTCTAAACTCTCGTCTGTGAAACAATAGGCCACGTCAAGGTGGCTGTGTCCACTTCTTACATACAGTTTATTTTTAAAATGTCATCGATATGTTTTCAGATTTTTCAGTTTCACTCGATTTTAACAACTCAAATGTCTAAAAATGATTTGATTACAACTTGAATTCTAAATGAAATGTCTCAAATATCAGCAAGCTAATGGTTATTATTAGTTAGTTAGCTACACAGCTGCTCCACCATTAATTACCATAGTCGTTGAAAATATTAAATTAAAGCTACTCTGCAATAAGTCACCTGTTTTTAAAGGAAAGAGTTGGGAAAAGTGTTTATTTTGATCTGTCATCTGTCATTTGATCTTTAACAAAACAGCATTTGAATATGAAGTTTTATTAGAAAAAAAGAGTTATGAGTCAAATGAATGTATCTTAATTATATCCATCAATGATGTCACTAATGCTGAAGCCATGAAAACAGTACAAACCCTGAACTACCTCATCAGGATTTTCCTCGCACCATTAACAGACTTGACATTCATCCTTTTTGTGTTGATGTTGTGCAGAGCGCATCAACCAAACTGTGGAGATCATCAAACACACCGTAGACATCGAGGAGAAAGGAGTCAAACTCAAGCTGACCATTGTTGACACGCCGGGGTTCGGAGACGCCGTCAACAACAACGAGTGGTGAGCTGGAGAAACTGATGATCTAATCTGACTCAGCCTGCTTGTTGAATCCTCGGAGCATGAAGGGGATGCTTATTCAGTCTATGTGTGTGTTCGTGTGTGTGTGTTCTAGCTGGAAGCCCATCACAGACTACATCGATCAGCAGTTTGAACAATACTTCAGGGATGAAAGCGGCCTGAACAGAAAGAACATCCAAGACAACCGAGTGCACTGCTGCCTATACTTCATCCCTCCATTCGGACATGGGTAAGAACACACAGACGCACACACACATACGCACACACACACACACACACACACACAAATGGTCCCATATGGTCTAGCGGTTAGGATTCCTGGTTTTCACCCAGGCGGCCCGGGTTCGACTCCCGGTATGGGAACTTGATTTTTTTTTTGTGTGTATTTCGGCCTATGTTTGTGTAGCATGTTAACTAGACAGAGTGTAAAAAGCAAATTTCCCCTCGCGGGATCAATAAAGTATACATTATTATTAAAATGAGACCAAATAAACAAACCTTATCTGCTTTTAGATTTTCTGCACAGAATCCTTCAACTTGCTGTTTTTTAAGGACTTTCGTGTCTTTTCTCTCACTTACGGTCTTGATTTCTCTCCTCAGTCTTCGTCCAGTGGATGTTGAGTTCATGAAGGCTCTGCATGAAAAAGTGAACATCATCCCACTCATCGCAAAAGCTGACTGCCTCACACCAAACGAGATAAAGAAGCTCAAAGACCGAGTGAGTCCCAGAACTGCAGCCCTACTACAAGTCTGTCTGTGTGCAGATTGTTCACTTCTTTTATCTTTGTATTCTTACCTCTGCTGTGTGTGTCTGTGTGTGTGTGTGTGTGTGTGTGTGTGCATGTGTGTGTGTCTGTGTGTGTGTGTGTCCAGATACGAGATGAAATAGAGAAGTTCGGGATCAAAGTGTACCAGTTCCCTGAATGTGACTCTGATGAGGATGAAGAGTTTAAGCAGCTTGACAAGGAGCTGAAGGTGAGTCAGATGCCTGATACAGACTCCACTTCATTCAAGACTCACTGAAGGTGGAAGTAACTAAAGCCACAGAATGGGGTCATTGCACCTCTCTGAGGTTTCTTCTTCCAGGAAATCATCACGAGACAAAATCCATCATCATTTATTTTATTATTATTTAGATGTTTTAGATGATATACTTTGTCAGCATAGTCATGTGAATTTAAGTTTGTGTACAGTTTTATATCTGATTTAACCCTATATGACCCCATACAGTATGCTTGTACTGGTATAGAGTTAATAATGATAATACATTTTATTTATAACACCATTTACATTTGTGGCTAATCTTTAAGAGCAACAAATTATGCTTTATATCAAAATAATTCATCATATCTTATGGTTGTGTTTTCAATCAGCCCACTTGTTCCATCTTTGTTAATCACTTTGTTCCTAATGCTTCATTGTTATTTTATTTCTGTTTTCATGAGTCATTTTAACAAACACTAATGTTTCACAAACCTCAAAAAACCCAACAGTGAACCTTCAGTTAACACATAGATGACGTTTTTTTTTTTTAGTATAGAACAAATTCATAACAAATGTTGTCTCAAGACAGTTTACAAAAAGAGCAGGTCCACACCTCAATCTTTGTTTTATTCTTTACAGAGACCCAGATAGAATCCGCCATGAGTACAGCACTTGGCAACATTTAGCAAATTAACAGAGGCAAGGAGCTTTGAAAGTGGGATAGAGAGCGATGACAAAATACACAGATTGAAAAAGTCGAACAAACAGAGCAACAAAAAACCAAACCAGTTAATACAAACTTGTGGATAGAGTGCCAATAATCATTTTAAAAGTCTGTGTAATATAAGCAGGAAAAGCCAAGTAATAATGAAACACTGATCATGATATTAATAACAGTTTAAGTCAATAGGTCTAATTTAAGGGTTTACAATGATCATAATTTGAAGAAGGACTGATAATATAAATTGTGTCAGTTTAACCCTTTATGTGATCTACTGCTGTAGTGTAGCGTTTTCAGCATGAATCCACATATCAGCTGGGAAAATCTGAGCAGGGCTTATAAACACCCGACAGTCTCAACCGTTACAGTAACTCGTCTCTGAGCTGCTCAGAGGCCTTTTGTGTGTGTGTTGAACTGTGAATATGTACCAGGTCCCAGCTTGCTCACGCAGCATTCTCTGGATTGATAAGAGATCATAAAAACAATGCACGCTCTTGTCTGTGTGTGCAGGAGTGCACCCCGTTTGCTGTGATTGGCAGTAACACCGTGGTGGAGGCTCGGGGGCAGAGGGTGAGGGGGAGGCTGTACCCCTGGGGCATTGTGGAAGGTACGATCATGAGTTATTACTCAATCATCTGAATGCTAATTTGACACAGTTTGAATGGCATGACTTTATTATTCTACGTGTTCCTTTATCAGTGGAAAACCAGTCGCACTGTGACTTTGTGAAACTGAGGAACATGCTGATTCGCTCGCACATGCACGACCTAAAAGACGTAACCTGTGACGTCCACTACGAAAACTACAGAGCACAGTGCATACAGGAGATGACCAGGTGAGTGTGAGAACGATAACACCGGAGAGGGAGAGAGTGTTTTGTAAACTTCTCAGATAACTGCTGATGTTTACAGATTTCAGTACAGACTTTTCTGCTTCTCACGCTGTCTTCTTCTTCTTCTTCTTCTTCTTCTGCTTCTCCTCAGTAAACTGGCCCAGGACAACCGTATGGAGAGTCCCATTCCCATCTTGCCAATCTCCACTCCTGACGTAGAGACTGAGAAGCTTATCAAAATGAAAGATGAGGAGGTAAGAAGCAGCTTTCAACAACACATTAGATTTGTCCGACAGCTTTAGTTTCTTTTATTCAGATAGTTTTATTTTCCTCCTGTCCAGAATGTTCTGTACTGCTGATATTTGGTGGTTTTATATTTACATGTTTCACGTTAACTAATGTAGTAGTACATATGATACATATATGAGGATAGAAATGCCATTTCAAATATCTCAAGGCAAATAGTTGCCTTACTTAATTTGCATTGTTGTATCTGTGGATAGTGAAAACAACTGAGAGACACATAATCTAAATACAAGATGAATAAAATGACACAACAATCAATAGAAATGTAAAATACATGAAAGATCAACATTCAAATTTATTAACTTAGACTAACCCGAGAAATGAGAAAAAATATTAAGTATTTGCAGAAACTTTTATATGTCAGTGTCCTCTGAAAAAAACACACACTCACTAATTTTATTATCGTCTGTAATAAAATACAGATTATACATACAAACTTTGGAGTCCCAATAATAACAAGTATAAACAGTTTACTATTATACCTTTATTACAATCTGCAGTGAGACATTCATGTGGACACTGTGTGCCCCAAAATTATTACACAATATGATAAAGTGTACGGCCTATTTTATTAAACTGATAGATAGTGAGGCATCCTCTGAGTCCCTTCAAAGGTTAAACATGGGAAGAATATCCGACTTTGTAAACAGTATTATTCTGACTGAAATCATATATCTAGCCAGTATTCTTGGATGCAAATGTGGGTATTTATTTAAATCAACAGCCGTGGTTTTTATCTCTTCGGCCATAGTCTGTATGAATGTTGAATCTATTCTAAGATTAAATACAGATTAGCATAAGATTGAAAGCATCACATGATCAAACTGTTTGAGCTGTTTATAATGTATTTATGTTGAGACTTAAAGCAAATGTTCCTCCCTGTCTGCAGCTGAAGAGGATGCAGGAGATGCTGAATAAGATGCAGCAGCAGATGCACGATAAAGAACAGTGATGTCTCTCCCGGGGCTGCAGCGCCCCCTGCTGTTTCTCCTCTGACAGTGAGACCCTCAGACGATGAACATGGATTAGTGTTAGTGGCAACTGTTGCTGTGCATTTCTCCTCAGTTTGGTGCTTTGTATAGTTTGTCTGCCTGGAGGGTTGTGTGTCAGAGGGTGTTTTCATCTCTGAAACTATCCACATGCCCATTTTGAGCCCCACCACCCCACCCCCGCTGTGATTTAACAGTCTTAACATATATAGTATAAATGCCTAATTTAAATTACTACTCAGTGTATCTAATTTATAAATGCAATGCTTAACCTTTTGGATATTTTGTCAGGGTATGAACTTGCGTGCTACAACTTGTTTTGTAAAAAAAAAAGATTTGGGTTGTTGGTGATGTTTCAATCTGAACATGGATATTGTTTTTTATCATGTGTTTGTGAGTGTGTGTTTGAGTATGTGAGTTTGTGTATCTAATGAAATTTCCTCCAGTATCAGCCAATTATCCGTCCACAAAACTTCTATTTGTCCTTTTGACCTTATACTTTGTTCTCAGATCCTCATAAAAACCTTCATGTGACATTTTTTTCACAAATGGCAACTCAAAAGAATCTCTCCCAGCATATTTTACATGCTGGCTGAGCTGAAAATGCACTTACTTGCCAGTGGCTTACTGTGAATGGAGAGCCTCAGAGAGGGTCACTGCAGTGCAGGATGCATGTACGAGCATGCTGTCATTATTCATGTCTGCTAAATGCTGAGGGCCTATTTTTACTGCTTTATAGTCAATGCCCTGTGCTTGTATTTAAAATGCTTCATGCCCTACAGTCTGCTTTGTCGAAAAAAATGAAAGATCAATAACAGGGAGAGAATACTGTGTCTATGCTTTTGTTCTGATTTCTCTCCTTAAAGGTGAGCTGCTGCCTCCTGCCAGTGAAGATGTGTAACGTGAGTGTGAATGGAGACTATTTCAGAGTGTGTGTGTGTGTGTGTGTGTGTGTGTGTGTGTGTGTGTGTGTGTGTTTGCTGATGCTGAAGAACAGTACATATTTTGCCTGAAGGTTGTGAGCTCAGCCTGTTCCCCGTTTATAAAGGTGTGACAAATAAACACTTGTTTCTTGTCCCTCTGGCTTCACATGTTTCTCTGATGATTACACGTCATTCATCGACATCCAGTAGTCTTAGTTCAACATCCTCTGTCATGTCCGGCTGTCAGAGTCTGAACTGCAGAGCTCTGAGTCTGAGCTGCTGCGGGAACGTTATCTGCTGATTCATGTTTATCTTCTGCAGCCACTCTTCCCCTTCTCCCCAGACACATCATCATCTCCCTGACAGTCAGAGGAGACACGAGCACAAAAACAATTATTATTTAGTTTTATTTATTTGTTGAATTCATTGATATGGACAGTGCACATTAATTCACATATCAGTAATAGGAGTCAATGTAAATATTTAGGAATATCAAGATAGCTCAATTTAATCCGTAGTCCTAAAGCAGATACTTTATATTAGGAAAGATAGAAATATCATTAATTTACTCATAAATGTTTTATTCCTAATATTTCATAGTGGAAAAAGTACTGAAGTCTTGTACTTTCATAAATATTCCACTAAAGCAATGTAAAAAATATTCTCAATCAGAAACTTATTGCGTGAAAAAGTTGAACAACAAATTATGGATTAGTTGTCAACTATAAAATTAATTGCATTTTTGGCTTTGGGAGACTGATCAACATTTTAACCTTTTTTCCTCCTTTTTTGTTTTTGATAAAAAACACTAAATCAAATAATTAATCCATGGATTGACAATAATAAAGGTTATCTTCCAATTCAGCTCTATGAGCATAAACGATCACAGTGAAGGACACAATAATGCTGCATAATCATCTGGTATCCGGTATCTATGAAAAGATACAGGACGGTATTTCAAACAAGAGCAGCAAGTTTCTAAAGGGCTTAAATATGGCTTATTAACATTTGAATCATACAGTTATAATTTAATTATTTTGAACTTTAAGTCTGTTTTATCTATTTTATCTTAAGCCCACACAATGAGGGAAAAAATGTGATGGGCAATACTATTTTGGATATTATGATAATGATATAAAGTGGGATAAATAAACTAATACTAAAGAATCTGATGTTTCTTGTGCATTCAAAACAAATCAAGCATTTTATACCAATAAATTTGCAACAATTACTCTGAGGCTAGCTGGTAGTTAGCTGGAGTTTCATCTGGCTGCATGAAAATGATGTGAGGGCATGTAAAATGTACACATGCTGTGAAGTGCTTCTTTACATGGATACATTTTCTAATATATTGCAATAAATGAAGACCTCTGCGATGGGTTCATGATGAAAGTTCATGTTGCGGTTAACGATAAAATTGTGATTCATGGTGCAATGAATCTTGTGCTTTCTTGTACATTTTCAAATAACAAATTTAGCAATGACAGAGTTGTAATCCGATCTGAGAACTCTGGATTATGAGCATTTAATATAAAACACTGAATATAGGTGTGTGCTATTTTAACGCTGTCTTCTTTAATTAAGTCAACAGTTTTCCTGTAATTCCTCAGGGGGAAAAAATTCAAGATAGAGCGTCTGCAATACTTCCTTTGTTCAGTTTGAAGCTTGTGCTTGTGTGTGTGAGCGTCTCTCTGTTCATATTTGACACTTATCAGTGAGAGCCAGCTGCTGAACGCTCCCACACACACAGTGACTCGACCATTAGAAGCACAGTCGTCTTCTGAAGACACACAGCTCTAAAGGTAAATGAATTTATTAAGACTTTTTAGCTTTAGCTTTTTTCACTTAATTAAACACATATTTGAGCCACTTCAAACTTTTTTTTTTTTTTAAGCAACTTTGTACCTGAACCACAGTATACCTTGGGGAACATTAGTTATGTGCAGCACTGGAGTCAAAGAAAATAAGGTGTCTCATACTGTATCATATGGTATGGTATGGTATCGTACGGTATCATATCATATCGTAGGACAAAGTTTGCATTCAACATTCACATACATAAGAAATCTCGACATAATAGTAAAATACCATACCAGACACCATTTTACAGTCAAATAACTTATTTGACTGCACTTTAGTTTTAACTACGGGACTTTAACTTGTAGTGAATGTTTTCACAGCGTGATATTTCTTATACTTTTCAAAGGATTTGAATATTTCTTACACCACTGCTTGGATGAAAATGAATAAAATATCTTCTCTTCTGTCCAGTGATCTGTCACCATGAAGGGATTCCTCAGTCTGCTTCTCATCAGCATCTCATCAGCATCAGCATGTCCTCACCTTTGCACCTGTCATGGAAGCCAGGTGAACTGCAGCAGCAGATCTCTCACCTCCTCCTCTCTGCCCACTCGTTTCCCTGCTGGAACCACCGAGCTCTACCTCCACAACAACGTGCTCACCCACCTTCCCAACGAGGTCCTGGACAACCTGCCCTCCCTGCGCTACGTCTCCCTTCACAACAACTCCTGGGTGTGCGACTGTGGAGTCCTCTACCTGCGGGCCTGGCTGCTCAGTCATCCTGCCAGCCTAAGGTCACACGTGGGCGTGAACTGCAGCTACCCACCCGACCTGAGAGGACGGCTGGTGGTGTATCTAACCGAAGACGAGGTCCTGGAGTCCTGTCACTACTGGTACTGTGACCTGGCTCTGGCCTCTCAGGTGTGTCTCGTTGTGTTTGTGATGGTGCAGGCGGCTCTGCTGGTGGCTCTTATCGTGTTCCTGAGGAGGTTTGAGAGGCTCTCCAGAGAGGCGAGGAGGACCAAGGAGGAGAGCTTCACAGCCGGGGAGGTTCAGAGGGAGAACTACTACAGCCCTCTTAAGGACAGCAGGACCTGAGATGAAGCTGAGATGTGTTTGGTTGTTAGATTTAACTAAAGAAAAAGAGCAATTAGTAATTTAGACAGATGATTAGATAGAAAAAGTTGCTCACAAGCTTTTCAAGTTTAAATACAATTCAAATTACCTTTTAATCCACAAGCAGGTTAGACTAAAGCAAAAACATGAGTGAACTATTAGAGAAATAGAAAATGCAGGGAGCGTTTCTGGACAATACTGAAGCTGTTCTGTTGGCTTTTGCTTTACTTTGTGAGCGTACTCTGTGTGTAGACAACTGTAAACCCTACCCTTGTAGTAGACTTGTTAATGAAGATACATGTATATCATCTTTAAAAACAGTGAACACTTGAGCATGCCTGATATTGGACTTTGAGGAGATAGCATTGATATTATTTTATAACCTCCCTGTTACAGTATACTGTGTGATATTTATGTCAAATAATTGATTAGGCTTGATTAGGAACTTGATAAGGATATCTTAAATTTGGCTAAGAATCATAACCATCTATATGTGTACTGAGCAGGCCATTCTGTAGTTTAAAAAATGAACTTGTCATTGAGGTTAACTAATTACCACAGATATATTTCTGGCTATTCTGTTCTGTAGTTATCTTATCAACCATGTGCTAAAACTTATACATCTGTGTTTTAGCTGATATCAGGTGACATAATATGCATTCATTTCACTCCCTCTCATCAAACCCTTTTTTAAGTGGCATTATTACATTAGGACACTCCAGTTTTCAAATTAACTCTGATATGTCAAAAACATGGACTGTCTTTGCCTTAGCCAAAAACAATGTGGTTAACAATAAATCATGTAGTTTTCCAAAGCTTTAGGGTTAAAAACTTCCATTGGTAATCCTTGTGTAGCACCTTGAACACCTGTGAAGTTAAATAATACTCTCACCTGAAGTCTGAATAAGAAATGGTTATTTTATGTGCATATGATGTCTGGAAGATGCATACATTTTTCTACTTAAAGAAGATGTTTAATCTTGATATGAAGTTGTGTAACTTTTTCAATTTATATGTATTCCAGTTTTGTCAGGGGGAAAAAATAATTAATTTTTGATTATACCTTGTTTATGTTAGACCTGAGTCAAATTTTATTGAGAAACTCATTTCTTTCACATTGTATGACTTTAATGTTTATTCCTTTTAACACAATTGCAAAAGCAAATTCTTACTTTATGAATCAAATAAAACAATAAATCTAATGGGAACAACTGAGTGGACTTTTTTTTTTCTGTCTAATGGAAAGACAAAATAGTGAGTTGACATTTTATTGATTGATTTTACGCTAGATTTAAAACCTTTTTTTTCTATGAAAGTTTTTGCTTTTCACAAAAAATAAATATATACAATTTTATATACAATTATTTTATTATAAAAAAATATAAATAACCATGACCAAATCAAATAAACACAAAAGGACGGATACAATGGGTTCGTGTTTTTCCCATAGACTGTAAATATTACTTTTCTATACTAATATACATTTTTATATTTTTACTATTTACTATTTACTATTTTTGACTATTTAATATTTTTACAAATATTATTAGTTTTTCCATAATGTTGTAATCGTAAAGCGGAACCTTTCTGTAGGTACTTTGTTTCGGGTAGGGACAGTTTTACCCGAAGGACCTTCATATGTTTACACGTGAGGGAACTGGTGGGTGCAAGCTTCAAGTAATAACATGTTAAATTAATTTTATATGTTTTTAGAGTATAATGTTGTTTTTTGTTGTTGTAATATCCAGCATGATTACGTCACTTAAATTCATTGAGTTTATGTCGTAATGACAATTTTTATGTTAGCTCGTCTTTAGCTGTCTTTAAGATGTATCCACTGTTATTTGTTAGGTCAGGGATTTGTAAGTATAGTTTGTTAATTCTTTCTTTCTTTCCAGACTTCAGTTTAAAATGGGAAAATTACGGAAGAAACACAACTGGAAGGGGAGACAGCAAAGTGAGACTAAACAACCAGCAGCTGAAGAGAAGACCCAGATTATTCTGGAGCTGAAAGGTAAAACAAATAGATTTTGTATTTCTCGATAGAGCCACTTAAGAAAAGTGTTTGTTTGGCTTTGTTTGTGACAGTCTTCTGGCTTTGTTTTCACGAGATGGAGGTACTGGTAGGATTAAAGGGTGGACGAGAGCAACGCTTTGGTCCTCCCAGCCAACAAAGCCAAGAAGAAGAAAAGCTCAGTGACACCTCTCTCCACCAAGAAGCCCCTCACCAAGAAACAGAGGAAAGAGCTGCAGAAAGTGCTGGAGCGAAAGGAAAAGAAAGCTCAGGTGAGAGATGAAACAACGCGTGTGTGTAGTTCATACTCTTCATGCAGGTCAACTGTGAAGTGAATACTATTTCTTGAACTCTTTTGTAGCTTTGTTACTGTAATCCCTTTATGTGATTCACTGAAGCGTTCCCTCATTTGATTGTTCATGGGACAAAGACAATGAAGGCTTGCCTTTTATTCTACTTATTTAGGGAGCACTTTAAAAATAAAACAAACAGATACAGGACTAGATCACATCCTCACACCTGTCCTGCTGTCTGTCCCGTCCAGAGAGCAGACATCCTGACCAAACTGGCCGAGGTGCAGCTTCCAGAGTCTGAACTGAAGCTTTTGTACACCACAGCCAAGCTGGGAACAGGAGACAAACTTTACACGACTAAACAGTAAGTGCACAAGTACAATATGCAGCTGCAAAAAAATAAAATGAAGGTATTTCTAATATTTGGAAGATAAAAGGTCTGGAATTTTTATTTTATTTTGTTCATTGCCAGGTCGTTGGATGAGGTCAATGATGGAGACTCGGGGCCAAAGATTAGCAGCGTCAGTGGAGCCAACAGAAAGAGAAAATGGAAAGAAGATGATGATGAGGAAGAGGAACAAAAGGCAGAGGAAAGTAGTGATCTGGACACCTCGTCTGATGATGACAGTGATGCTGGGGATGAAGAGACCACAGTGAGTGAATCTAAGAAAACCTCCGATCCCAGTCAGGAGATGGAGGACAAACAGGACGCGAAGGAGGAACAAAACAAAGCGAAACAAGGAGAGCAAAATGAAAAGAAGATTTCAGGTCAAGAGAAAGTCCAAAATAAGACGCCGTCGCAGCCGGCCATCTTTGTTCCTGTTGACAGAACGCCAGAAATACAGGTGTGTGTTTTTGTGCTTATTGTACAGCAGTATATAAAAACTGATTCTTTTTTTTTTTTCTTCTCATACAGCTTAACGTTTTTTCACAATCTTTTAACCTGTGCAGGAGGCTCGTCTGAAGCTGCCCGTGCTGGCAGAGGAGCAGGTTATCATGGAGGCAGTGCGAGAAGATCCCTGTGTCGTCATCTGTGGAGAGACAGGAAGTGGAAAGACCACACAAGTGCCTCAGTTTCTGTATGAAGCCGGCTACGCCAGGTATGGCATGCTCTTTAATGGGGATGTCCTTTTAATGATACACAAGATATGTAGCTACAATGATGTCTTAAATGTTGGTATGTAGAATGAGATATCATGCTGGGACAGTCATCTTCTTTGTTTGTTTGTTTGTTTGTTTTTTTTCCTGCAGTGGCAGTGGGATAATAGGAATCACAGAGCCTAGAAGAGTAGCAGCTGTCAGCATGTCCCACAGAGTGGCCAAAGAGATGAACCTGTCCACACGGTAACACAGCTCATCATAGATCGGGGGGAACTTTTTCTGATAATGTAAATATTGTTTCGAATGTGCTTCATGTTTGTGTGTGTGTCGGTGTTTTCAGGGTGGTGTCGTACCAGATCCGTTACGAAGGAAACGTGACCAGCGACACCAAGATCAAGTTCATGACTGATGGTGTTCTGCTGAAGGAGATTCAGAAGGTTTTTTATCTTTATTCTCTGTTGAATAATTTGAAAAAGTAAAGTAAACATGACAGCGAAACATTCAGTGAGTGATTGTTCTTTGTTTAATGTGTATATTAAGAATAACGGAGCTTGTTTGGCTGTTTTTTAATTTGCATTTTTAGTGTTTTCTCTTCCATCCTAACATCGAGAGGCTAAATTCTGCCCATGCATATTTATACTTTGCACTGAGCCTGTGTACTTAATTTGTGAGAGAGATCAAACAGCCTCAGGTTAGGACAGTGAGTGGCAGTATTTTCACTGAGATCATAATTTTAACCAGTCCTGATAAGGTGACAGTTTTTTTTCCATCAGCCATAGAAAGGTTCAAAACTTGAATCAACGATTGATTGGATTGAAATACACCGATCATTTTTACTCAGAGAGATGAGTCAAAGTCAAAGTCAACTTTATTGTCAATTTCAAAATATGCCAGACATACAGTGGAATCGAAATTACGTTTGTCTCCGTCCCACGGTGCAAAACAACCAAAATAAGGTAAAATAGATAAATGAAATGAGGTAAAATAAGATAAATAATATTTACAGTAATACAAAAGGTACAAAATGGTAAATAAAATTTAAAGAAAAAGTAAACTTGTGCAATAAAGTAGTTAGCTTCAGAGTTATTAGTCCAGAGTTCTTGGTGGCAGACGGGAGGGGGTTTCAACGTCCAGCCTAAATGACCTTGATTTTTCTTTCTGCAGCGTCTCATTGTCTCTGTCTTGTCTGGTAGGATTTCTTGCTGCAGAGATACAGTGCGATCATCATTGACGAGGCTCACGAAAGGAGCGTGTACACCGACATCCTCATCGGACTGTTGTCTCGTATCGTCCCGCTCAGAAACAAAGTAAGACAATCTGCTCTGTGTCAAGTGTGGAAACTCTCCTCCTTTTATTTGATGCCTGAACGACAGACATGTCTTATTCTATCTCTGACTGTGTTTTATTTTAAACTCGTCCTCATCGTGTCACCCGCTCCCAATCTTCACATCTCTGCAGAAAGGTTTACCCATGAGGCTGCTGGTCATGTCTGCTACTCTGCGAGTGGAGGACTTCACAGAAAACACAAAACTGTTCCGGATGCCGCCGCCTGTCATCAAGGTGGATGCTCGCCAGTTCCCGGTCACGATACATTTCAACAAACGCACCCCGACGGAGGATTACACCGGAGAGGTTTTCCAGAAAACCTGCAAGATTCACCGGATGCTGCCTCCAGGTTCACATTCACACTCTCACATTTCTGAGATGCTTTTGATTGGTGTGATGTATGTACTGCAAAGTAATTTGACCAAAGAGCGACATCAAGATCAACAACAAGAAATATTTTGATATAACTTACAAGTGGTTTTTCTATCATTTTATTTAAAGAGAAAGTTCCTTTTAACTTGTCCATATTATTTTTCCTTCAACTATGAGCATTAGATATTCAAATAACTGCACATTTCCTCTTAATGTTAGTTAATATTTGCCAGTGTAGTCATTCTAAATAGTAAGTAAGCAGCACATACTGTGGATGCTGGAGATTAACCTTCATGCACACTCACCAGTGCCCCCATGTCTCTCTCCCTCAGGGGGTATTTTGGTGTTTCTGACCGGTCAGGCAGAGGTCCACAGTCTGTGCAGAAGACTGAGAAAAGCTTTCCCCTTCAGGAGGGGAAACACAACCATAGGTGAGTGAAACAAACAACTGTCTGACTCATCACGTAGCAGAGAGTTTGTTTTTGAATACTTCTTCGTTTTGTGTTCAGGTGAAGATGAGGAAGCAGACACATCAGAGGCAATGAGAAAATTTAAGAAAGCCAAACAGAAGAAACCTGTTGTAAGTCTACCGTTCATTACATACCTCTAAAATGTCTCTGTTATCTCTGCTTGTCTGATATATCTTACCTACATGTTTTAATCTCTGCCTCTAGTCTCTTCCCCGAATCGACCTGGATAACTACTCTGCCCTCCCGGTGGATGAAGGCGACGAGGACAGAGAGGCGGGGATCGGTGATCAGGAGGATGAAGGCTCTGACGTAGACTTCGGTGACGATGTCACAGATAAAGGCAAATGAAGAGTTCTTCAAAAGCATAATTGATGGATTTCATGAGTGCCCTTACTAAATCTGCTCTGTGTTTTGTTTCTGTAGAGGAGAAGGCAGACCCCTCTATTCCTCTGTATGTTCTCCCTCTGTACTCACTGCTGGCTCCAGAGCAGCAAGCGAAGGTAAGATTCACAATAATGTGTTAGCATGTAGCTCATGAAAAGGGTCCATCCACGAGAAGAAGTAGTATGAATGATTTTTAATTCAAAATCCAACCA